AAAAAAAAAAAAGTTGTTGGTTAAAAAGTCAGTTTATTTTCAAACTTGGTCTTTCTGTGAGTAGCAGGCTTTTGGGTTATTACAGTGTTTGAGTTTTGTTCACACCATCACTCTCTACTTTTCAACCAAGCCAGCAGAGCTTTAGCTTCTCACAACGTCAGCTTCTAAGAGTACAAAGATCAACACCACGACCCCAGGCTTGTTTTCGGGTGAAAACATGATGTGCTTTGCCACACTTCAGGTGACAGTCACCTCACATGTTGCTGCCTTGGCGTCGGTCTGGCTCTGTGTGGGGCACAGCCCATTTCACAGACTGGACTGGTGTAGTGTGTGGCACATGCCTGGCTAAGCAAGGGGGACAAGAATGTGCAGGCTCCTGCTGGACTGGACCCCTTGGATTAAAGCCTATCACATTTTTTTGAGTGTTGTACATATCTTCTCACTATTTTTGTGTGTTACCAAGTCAAGTAGGCTGCTGGGAGGCCTTGACTGTTTGTCTGTTTGTTGTCCATAAGGTGATGCTCCTCTTCTCCTATGAATCATGCTACATTGGAATAAACAAGGGAGCATATTTGAGCCCTGTTGTGTATTTATGACAGCCGGGGGACTTCATCCCACCTTTGTGTGTTGTTCCAAGCTTGCGCAGGGAAGGGTACTACGCTACAGATTCCCATCCCAGACAGCATCTATGTGTCTTTTCTGGGCTTTGGAGCCTGCAATAAGTCATGTTCTCCTTTTTTTTTGTCATAGCCATCCTTGGCATGCACACCTTGATGAGTAACCAGCAGTACTATGAGGCACTGGGGAGCAGCACCATCGTGAACAAAGAAGGGCTCAACAGTAAGTGATTTAGAGTGTTAGCAGGCTGCAGTAGTTGGCTTTGATGCTGCTAGCAGAGGCAAAGTGGGAATTATTTTTAGGCTGAAGGTTAGAGCCACGAATGTCAGAGCAGCCTGTGATTGCTGGGGCCACCTCTGGTGCATGCTTGCCTTGTGAGAGCCAGCATGGTCTCAGCCACGTCCCTGGTGCCGTTTGGGAGCTGGCACAGCCCAGGGAACAGCCCCATAGAAGCAGTGTGTCTTCTGTCACCCAGATTTGGACCTTGAAAGCACATAGCAGCAGGCACTGGCCGTCCTGTGCTGGTTCCCCCCACTGGAGGGGCCTCTCATGTCATGTCGGTTTGTCAGGTCATTCTTCCATCTTCTCTGATTCTGGAAGAGGAGAAACACATCCAAAGGAGAGATACTGCTGCTAAGGGTGCTTTTGCTTTCATATGTGTTGCTTTTCATTTGCAGGTGTGATTAAGCCCACGCAGTACAAACCAGTTCCTGATGAGGAACCAAACTCAACAGATGTGGAGGAAACTCTGAAACGAATACAAAGCAATGATCCTGATCTTGAGGAAGTCAACCTTAACAATATTATGGTATTTCCTCCTTTCTACCCTTCTCTCTTAATAACAGGGTGGAACATACATCTGATACACAGAAAGCAGAGACCAAGCCTGTTTTGCTGCACAGTTTGTACCATAACACTGAGTGTAGCCCGACAAGAAACACCAGTGCTTCCCATCCCTGTGGGCAACAGGGATTGTTACCTGGGACAAAGGCACAGGGTTGGTAGCAAAAGGACTCCTTTAAGTGCCTGGAAGAATGGAGTTGTGTTGAGGGAAATTTGGGGAGACACATCTCCAGGCTATCTGGCTAAAGGCATTGTAGGTTTCTTTGATGATTCAGTCAGGCATATTTGGTGGAGGGGCTGTTATGTATGTTATGAAATGGGGAGGGGGGAAGCCTTCACAATCCTGACACTTGCCATGAAAATATGAAGAAACCTCCCTTCTTGCAGGTGGTCCTGTCCGTCTCCCACCCATCCCTTCTGTGGAGCACTTTTACTTCTCGTAGAAAGCAAATCAGGACATAGTACCACTTCTTATATTGCCTTTGGGACACATACACATACTGAAAAATATAATTTCTGTTCCATGGGGCCTGTTGAATGATAGCATAGCCAAACAGCAAGAACATGGTTAACTGCATGTGCACATTAAAAACATTTTTGCTATACTACCTGCACCTTTCTGTAACAAAAATATTTTTACTTTCATGTATTTGATTCTGGCTAGTGACCCTGCCCCTTGAGGACACAAGGCTGAGGGTCTGGCAGGCAGGCAGGGACTATTTTTGTGTGTTGAACTCATGACTTTGGGACGTGGTCCGGAGAACTGAGGAGTGACAGTGGAGATTGTAAGCTGCTGGGTTCTGTGTTATAGTGATTCCACATGGTGGGATCCAAATGGTGTGGCAAGAAGTCCAAGGTGAGGATACCACTTACAATGTTAGCTGAAAATTTGTACATTTGAAAAGGGTATCTAAAGTGCTTGATAAGTGAAAAATACTAATTTTGAAGGAACACAGAATAAGCAGCATGGATTTTTTTTTTCTCTGCTGAGACCTAGCATGGCAAATGTTAGCCTGAAACATGCTGTATAAGCAGTCAGAGGTGTCTGGTTTGTGTTACAAGGAGATCCTTTCAGGCCTTTCTAGATCAGGCCCTGTAGGTGGAACTTTTCTGAACAAGACATGAATGTTACTCAGTGCTGTCACTGTATTAGGAAGCACAGGAGCATTACTGTGTAGGCTCACAGACCTTGGTTACCTCCCCACAACACCTGTGTTCCTACATAGCTGAGTTTCTGGGCAATTAAATCAAACAGCAGAGACGTGGCTTCAAATCAAGGCAACGAGCTTTTAGCAGAGCACGACACAGGATGAAGGCATTGCCATGCTCCTCAGGCCACGCTGATTATAGCAAGAGAACTTATCAACCCCTTCCTGAATTACTTCAGTGCATTTGGTGATTTGACCTTGATGAAAAATGTATTGCATAGTCCTTCATACAGATGATGACCTAACACAGGCTGTCTGCATTTCTTTTCACAGAATATTCCCATCCCGACTTTAAAGGCTTTTGCGGAAGCGCTGAAGAACAACACGTATGTGAAGAAGTTCAGTATAGTTGGGACACGGAGCAATGATCCTGTTGCTTTTGTAAGTACTGTGGGCTCATCATCTTAGTGTTGTGACAGGAGCTGTCCTCGGGCAAGGTGTTTTTGGAGTTACTGACTGACTGACTGGTTCTGCACCTTATGTTATGTTTGGCACGTTCCACACCTCTGGCGTTTGGTGCAGGTGCTTCAGTTTCAGGAGCACTAGTGAAAGTCAGCAACTGACAGGCATTGGTCCCTTCACTTCATTTTTTAGCTACAGAGATTTCAGGGCGCAACCCTTTAATCCCATTCAGTCTCATATTTGTCCTCAAGGATCTCCCAGAAAAGGAGCATGAGACAAAAACTGACTCCCTAGTGGCATTTTCTAGAAGCAGTTTGTCTCTGTCTCTCTCTGGAGGTTTCTTTCTGTTGGTACAAAGCTGTGTGCTGCTGTGTGCACAGCTGTTCCTCCCCTTGCACACGTCTGCTCCAGCTCTCTTTCTCATATTCCTTTGTGCAGGTTTGTGCAGAAGGAGGACTCTCATGTGTGGCCTCTGTAGTTGATAATGGGTCTTTCTGGCTGCTGTGCATGATCCTACATATCAGTGGGCATGCAGAGAGGTGCTGAGTGTTCTGCCTGGCCCTCATGCTACCTTCCAGGCTGCATCTTTGCATACTTCTCCAGCACCGTGGCAGCTAATTTTTGCTCTTATTCACCCAGGTCACCCCTACCTACCTCCACACACACTTGTGCACACCAGTTTCCTGTTAGAAAAAAAGTCTTTTTGGAGGGTGAGTGCTGCCCTCACATTATTTCAAGCACTCTGGACTGAGGAAGAAGCCTGTGCAGGCAGCACTGGTGCTATCTGAGGGCTCGAGGGGCACTGTGCAGGGCTAGGGGAGCTGTGGGGCCGAGTGCTGTGGGTGCAGGTCAGCCCTGCCACTTGGGCATCACCTTCTGTTCCTTCTCTTTTATGCCATAGATGAATCTTCCCATACAGTTTGTAAGAAATGAGATCATCTGATCAGGTCAGGGGGGTTGGGAGTGTTCCAGCCCACTTCTGGTCTTACCCTCTGAGGGAAGCAAAAGTCATTAATATGGTTGTGCTGCCACTTGGGAGGGCACCTTGGATGTGGAGAACCCCTTGTTCAAGATAGACGCTCCTCTCTCTGCCTGCTATAATGGGGAGCATCTCAACCCCATGCAGTGCAGGCACGGACCCAACCAGAACGGAGGCAGGGCAATGCTGGCCAGCATCCCTGTCATCACCGTGCTGACTTTAGAAGAGGGACACATGAGGTTGTCACGGGGCAGCTGCTGTCACAGGGGGACTGTCACCTTTTGGGGTAGCCCTAGGGGTTTGTCTGTACAAGGTTTTGCTGTGGCCTCCAGCATGCTCATGTTCAAGAATCCCCCTGCAGCAGTGGGGAAGCCCCTTCACTCTGCACAGAGCAATTCCATCTGGCAGCAGTGAAACTGCTCAGCACACAGGACCCTCCTGGAGCCCTTCTGGAGGTGAGGGGAGCTGAACCCCTGCTGCCCTGGAGTGCTCTGCCTCTGCTTGTCCGACTGCCCGTTCTTCCTGCCCATCTCTGCCCACAGGCCCTGGCAGAAATGCTGAAGGTCAATAACACGCTGAAGAGCCTGAATGTGGAATCTAACTTCATTTCTGGGTCAGGTATCCTGGCTATTGTCGAGGCGCTCCAGGGCAACACATCGCTGGTAGAGCTGCGCATTGACAACCAGGTAAAGCGAGTGACAGCTCTGGGCCAGGGAACGTGTCCTGGCTGAGGGAACTCAGTGGCTGGTCAGGGCAGAGGCTGGCAGCTCTCAGCCCCCTGTTTCTGTTGCAGTTCCTGGGTGGTATCTGCTACTACATGCAGTATTTAACAAAGGCTGCAGCAGTCCAAGCAGCTTCCCATGTTCCTGGTGCTGCCCTGGAGAATGGTGATGTTCCTGTCCAATATCATGCCTTGCATTGAGCTCTTGCAGAGGCTTAAATAACAATGTCTATTTAGTAAAACTGAAATTTTTCCTAAAATGCAACGGAAAGAGAAGGAGACCTGTAGGGTGTGCAGATGCTGTGGCAAGTTTAACTCCCTGAGAAACCCAGAGGTTGAAGCAGCTGAGCTATGTGGAGCTCAGGGACAGGTGATTGGGAGTTCAAAATCCTAGTTTCTCCAGACATCCCTTAGCTGTTAATCTGTCCAAGAAATAAAGTCTTTGGGCAAACGGCCTCGTGGGAATGTCTGCTGGAGGAGTTGGAGCCACTCGGCTGTACCAGAAACAGGCCAGTTGTTTGTTTTACTAGCTCCAAGTCAGAAATGTCAAATGAACCAACAGGTCCAGAGAAGGAGGGAAGAGGTGGATGGACATGACAGATCTAAGTGCTCACTCTGAATCACCCTCTGACGTGACCGGTTTGATTTTTTTGTTTTCTATTTTCAAAAGAGCCAGCCCTTGGGCAACAAAGTAGAAATGGAAATCGCAAATATGTTGGAAAAAAACACCTCCCTACTGAAGTTTGGGTACCATTTCACTCAGCAAGGTCCCCGGCTTCGTGCCTCCAACGCTATGATGAATAACAACGACCTAGGTGAGTCAGGCTGACTGCAAGCCAGGAAGTATGGGAAGGTCTTATGGGCAATTTCTGGTGGGATTAGGGCAGAACTGCTCACATGAAAGCTCTGGTAGATGCCTATGAATTAGAATCCACCTCTTGAAGGGCCTGATGATGCTTTGGCCTTCAAGGAGGGAGGCAGCCTTCACCAACTGGTTCTTCAATGCAGCTGCTGTCAGCCAGGCAATGGGTTGTGCTCCAGACTTGGAGACACTGAGCAGCTAAAACTCCAAGAAGAGGTAGTGTTTTTTGCAGTGACGGTGGGTGTTGTTGGAAAGGAGCGAGAGCTGCTGATGTGGTTTGGTACAGCTTGTGCTACAGCATATGGCACACGGGTTATGAGCTGCTAGCGCTTGTGATGCCTGCCAACTGCTTGTCTTTCTCCAGCTTCATTCCCACTCTAACAAGGAGATGAAAAGTAGCAGAGTTGAACTCGGACGGCAGTAGGATTTGGCCCATCCCCTTCAGTGAAACAAGCTGGAACTGTTTCTAGGGAGATGTGGGAAGCCACGTGGCTTTGAGTTATCTTTATACTCTCAATGAAGTGATCAGAAGTGCTTGTGAAGCAAAATGTGGGCAAGTCCGCAAACTGCCATTTCAGCCAAAGCTTGTGGCAGAGGCTTTCCATTGCTTGGCTACAGGCTGCTGTGGAGCTCTGGGGATCAGGCCAGCAGAGCAGTACTGAATGCAGCTAACACACCCATCATGCTGTACTCAGTGGCTGTCATATTGGGGCAGATGATAAATATGTGGTGTTTTAAACAGAAATAATAAAACTAAACCTTGTGTCAGCCAGTCCTGTGCTCCTAGGAAGCACAGCCAAGCAGAGGTATGTGCCAGTTCTTCAGGGATCACACAAAATATCCCGTCTTACGGTTCACTGTGTATTTATTCTGCCTGTGGCTGCATTCCTGGTCACTAGAGAGCTGCATTGGCAAAGGCTTGCTATTTCCTGTCCTTTGGAACAGAGCAAGATTCTGAATGACTCTGTGGCACCTGGCATTCAAAGTAATCAGCTGAAAGATTTAAATCTAATATTTTAATTGTTCCTGCTGTTAAGGAGATGAATTCACAACTTGCCTTCTGTGTTAACAACCGTGCATTTTGCCTCTTTGACCATTAAGAACTGCATTTTTTGTCTGATTTGGTTCTTGTTTGCAGCTCATATTCGTTGGTCTGATGGTCTCTGGCAATAGCATCTCAGCTCTACACATGGACAATGTATAAGTACAGGAAAACTTTATTTTCCTCCCTGTCAGCAATAGCTCTCTCCTTGTACTCCATTCCAATACTCTTGCTTATCATCAGCTGATGCTACCAGAATGTGGTTTTGGTCCCATAGCTTCTGTTCTCTAAGATGTTCTGTATGAACCAACTATGAAGGCTTTTACATTCATCCTCATGAGCTAACTTCTGCATTCTCTTTATAATTTTTTTTTGTTTTTCTTTGCACACATTTCTTGAAAAGTCGTGAGTGTAGCTGTCAGAGGTGTGAACCAGCTTTAAGACTAGATATGAGACTGCTTTGATCGTGTTAACCATGATCAGAGGACTGGAGCCTAGAGGCTTAGGATAAGAAATTAATTTTTTTTTTAAATTATTTTTTTTAATTTTGAAAAGGCAATTGAGAAAAACTAGCAAAGGAAAAACTGTGGCCTCCATCTCCTGCTGTTTCTACATCAGTTAGCATCAGATGATGCATTGGCCAAAGTCCAGTTACATAGACAAACTGTGAAATACAACTGACTGTAGAATAAGGGAGGTAAGGCTAAAAGTAGCTTCTGACCTTAAAAACTCATAGGGAGAGAAACCTCATCTTACCTTCCTTGATTTTAAACTATGTAAGGCTGTGCCTGCTGCTTAAAGCAGGAATTCAGAAGCTGAATATCCTGTTTCTTTCCTATCAGAAAGTACATCTCTCAGCTCCTTTCCACAGCAGTTCAGTCAAGCCTGCCATCCACATTTTACCATTGCCATGACTGACTCCTCTTTCTTTTCTTTTTCAGTGAGGAAGAGAAGACTTGCAGAGTTGAATGGGCCTATTTTTCCCAAGTGCAGAACTGGAGTGTAGTTCCTGGCTATGGAGGTCATTCCCGGTGATCTGTGCTACACTGTGGAAATCTAAAGGCAATAAGTGCCTTGACAGAGTATTTGTGGTGCCTCGGTTCTGTTTTATGCACTAACAGTTTAAATTAACTAGCGGCTATAGTTTTTATGAAGATTTTATCCACTAGGACTGGTGATGTTTTCTGTAGAGTTGGAAACTATTCGAGCCAATAATAACCTGTCAGTTTTATGCAACCTCAGTTTAGAGCACATCCCAGTGTAAAAGTGACTTTAACCTGGGACTTAATTTTATATAAACTTCCTGCACGGTGTTTCATAAAGTTAGGATGTGGTATGCATGAGTGAAAGATACAATTGTTTCACACAAATTACAGAAGTATTAAAAAAATACTTTATTTTTTTCCAAGTTGATCTCAAGTAACTATAGAGGAGCAACTGTTTAACAAGCACTTCTACCATCTGGAAACATGGCTAATTTCAAGAATTGTGAACTACCATTTCTTACCGACATTTGCTGAATCATTTAATTGGAGATGCTGTTTCAAATGCATCCCTGTGTTTCTTTGAAAAAAACCTGATCTCCACCCCTGGCATAAATGGAACTTAAGGCCACCAATTATAAAACAGAGTCTCAAAAATCAAGTGGTTTAGGACAGGTCAATATCCTTCAATGCACATCTGAAGAAAACAGTTACTTTTAGAGATGTGATACAAATTCTAACCCCACAGAGATGGCCAAACTAATCAGCAAATGAGAGCCTTCTCTTTTAATTCCCACTCCTTTCAGTTTCCTTATGTTAAAAGCATTTGTCCAGATATTCACTGGAAACAAGTCAAATTCTCTCTTTGCTGTTTTGTCTAGATGACCATGTCCATTAATTAAATTCTGTTCTGCTAGGAATTGTTTCTTTTTACTGCTGTCCCTTATGTCCACATAAATGCAAGAATAAATGTTGTGCCCTAGAAAGGCTGTGAAGTGAAATACCGCAACTTGCACTGTACATGGTCTGACCAGTTTTTGTCAGTCTACACCCGTCATCCAGCCTGGGAGGAATTCCCCACAGGCCTCTGTAGCTCCCAGACATGCAGTGGACTGGACTCAGCACTATGACATCCAAAACTCCCACTGTTAATGTGAGTGGGATCCCGCTTGCTAGGAAGAGTTTCCTGGAAGAAGTGCTGCTGTACTGAAGCCTTAATCTTGGTCAGATGACACGTCTCAGAAAATGTTCTCTCTTGATAGAAATCTCCCTTTAAACATCCGTTAAGAGTGAAGTTTTTCAGCCTTTTACACATATACTAGCAAAAGTCCCACATACTTCTTCAGAGCTTGTGCGCAAACACCACCGACAGCTTAGCTCTGACCAGCAAAGCAGAGAAACACTATTCAGCAATGTGGGAAACATATCCATTGCTCTTCAGATCTTAATAAATGTGCCAGTGGTGTGATATAAAATGCTTCACTACAGCTTCTTTTCCCCACTGTGCAAGTTCTGTATCAGGAAAGGAAGAGACTGCAGAAGAAAAACACTTGAAAACATACTAAAACGAAGAAACTGGCAGACAGCCACTTTCTTCCATGTGCGCTGCAAAGACTTCAAAATGGCCAACTAAATCATCAAATCAGAACCACACAGTTTCAGCTAAGCCATCCACTCAAATTTGCATGGTACAGGCTCAGCTTCAGAAGAACATAGATGCGTCTTATCCTGGAAAGTCCTGATGGTGCTAAGAAACCCAGATATGCAAGGGGATGCATCTGCAGAATAGGGAGCACTACCACAGATACTACTACAGCATCTTTTCCTACATGAAAAATAAAACCCAGCTCTTAAAAAAGGAAAGAAAAGAAAAGAAAAAAAAAAGACAAGAACTTTGTCCTGTGTTTCACTATAGCAGCATCCATGCAGCCCAGAAGTATATAAAGCTGGCAGGATCATTCCAGGTTCCTCAGCTGATCCTCACAGAGCCGCTTTGCTGCAAGATGCATTGTGCAGCAGAGACAGACAGTGCTGAGGCATCAGGCCTTGTGGTGAAAGGCATTAAGCTGTGCAGCAAGGGAGGTACAAAATTGTAGTATTTAGGAGCAAATGCATCACTATTTGTCCCAGCAGCTCTGCAGGAAAAGGGGGGAAAAAGCCGTTTTGTGACTGCAGCATCCGGCAGTCAACAGCCAGTCTTGCTGAAAAGCCTTCCCTCTCCTGGAGCTAATGTGCTTTCTCTCAGGCATTACCACTGAGATGCCCAGATCCTACCACAAAGCATTTCACATGGCAAGTCCTTACTTGTATTAATCCAACAAAACTAATCCAGAAAACAGGATACAGAGCAGCTTATGGGCTAACTTGCAAGAAGGAGGCTACAGATGTCTCTTACCCCTCTCTTTGTTCTCTGCAGCAGAGGGAAAATGATTTTATGGGACTCCATCTACACATCTCAAACCCTTCTCCTTCCTTGCCTTAGGACAGCAAGGACCAGAAGAGGCCTCATGGCTCACCTCTGCCTTTGAGGTAGAATCTCCAGCTGCCAGGAGCTCTCAGCAGAATTGTACCTTGTAGCCAGGTCTAACATGTGGTAGACTGGCTTGGCTTCAGCATTTACCTTGGCAGAATCAAGCACATCCAACACAACAGGTGAAGTGTATTTGTGCAGTACTTAAAAAAATTCTAATGGAAGCATTAAAGCTTATTTATCATCGTGGATGTTCCAAAAGTTTACATATAAAATCTAGTTGTTGCCATTCTGTACTGGTGGTATTGAAACAGCCTTATGAACTGATTACAGTGTCTCAGACCTGCTGACAGACTGAATTACAAAACTGTGTTTCTTTTTAGCCTAACACCAGAAGAGCATACCATGCAACCTGGAACACTCCCCATCAGTGCTCTAGACCAGACCTGCAAGTACAGCTTGCATGCTTCTCCACAAATACTCCAGCCCTCAAAACCACAGAGGTTAACAGGCCAGCAAAGACTGGGAGGCAAGATGTCAGGGAAACATTGGTACTGCTTAGACTTCTGCTGAAGGTGTCTACTGCTGGGAATTTTCACAGATTTACTATTAAATGCTATCCTCGAAAGATTCTCAAAGAAAATATTCGTAAGATTCAATGTTTGGCCTCCTTAATGGAATTGTCAAAAAGACAGTTGCTGAACCATTATTTCACCATGGCAATACTGGAAACAAGAAGAAATGCTTGCCATGGAACCCATGTCCATGTATCTAAGTTGCTAGTCAAGCCAACTTGAGGCCTTACTGAATTAATAGCACCATGGGAGAAAGTTACAATCTGTATGAAAACAACATAGCCCTAACTGCTATTAAGCAACTGCAGAACTGTGAACTGTTTTCTTGCTTTCAAAAGCAGTTGCCAGTTCAAAAACCCCAAATGACTAACTGCTGTTTAGTTCCCAGAATGACAGTGCGTTTCAAAGACATTTTTCAGTCAAGACACATCTACACTATTAATAAATCCTTTCTGTACATTGTACAGCATCAGGCACACAAAGCAGCATGTGGGAAAGTATTTTGAGCTCATTTGCTGTAGGTTCCTTCAAATTCAAAGACAATTTCTCCACTAACAGGTGCTGGAAATTGCATAAATATCTTGCAGCTTTTAAAAAATTCAACTCATGTTTAAAAAGCACAAATGCTCCCCAGATCTTGAATTATTTAACCTGGATAAGGGATCTTGCAACCTCCTTATAGCTGTTGCTGACATTCATGCCCACATGCATCACTTTCAGTGCCATAATGCCAGTATTTTGACAGTCTCTGTGCTTCCCTTTTTGTGTGCTTGTTTCAAAGTGCTTCAAGCTGTCAGGTTTTTTTCAGTGCAAGCAGAGCCGAGCCCTGGATATTTCATATACTGACAAGCTGAAGGAAACAACAGTTCCCAGGGAGACTGAGCATTGGAATGAGGATGGTTTTTGCTGTTCATCCTACAGATCACACAAGTATTGCTGGGCAGACTATCTCTGGGCCTTTGCTCCAGTTACAAGAGGAGGACTGGCTGAAGGAGTTATGCTGCCTTCAGCCAGTTTTACACAAGAGTTAAGTCAGCGACTTCAGGTAACTACCCCTTGCTTCTCACTGGTCTAAAGTAAGAGATGCAGGAGGTGGCATGCACATGGAAAATATCTTCAGCTGTAATCTAGTCATATAGCCACACCAAATCTGCTGTTTGCACACCCTAATATCAGCTGTTGGAGCAAATGCATGATCACTGGAGAGGTCAGACAGATTGATATCCATGCAGGAAGAAAAGAACAGAATTGTTCTTATGTCCCTTAAGTTTCTTTTGAATTGTGAGCAGCTCTGTCACACTGCAGATACTCTGCTCCAAAATCCCCATGGTAAAGGCCACACTACAAGGCTGTCCCCAGGGAGAGGAATCCTGCAGTGCTGGTGGCACGTTGGGCACTCTGGTAATATACAGGCAAGTAATGGATGGTTTTCAGGGCATACTCTAGGTTTAAAGGCAGCATATGAACAAGACTTTCCAAGCCAACACATTTTCATGATTCCCACACCTAACTGATTAACAGATAGGGATCTGGTTATAGAAGCCCTTCACATCAGCACGCGTCAGATCAGCCAATGAAACAGCTTAATCTTTTCCTGTGTCCAGCATCCTTTGTGAGACACGTTCGATAGGTACCCTTGGACGTTCGATAGGTACCCTTGGACGTCTCCTTGTGCATTCACATTCCTCCTTAAGTGTCTGTCCTGAAGCCCTTGAAGTCACCTTGAGCTCCTTCTCTTGACAAACAGGACAGCAAGCTGTAAGACCTTTGTTGCAACAACTTGGACATGTCAGGACAAGCTGCCGGCAGTGCTGGCTCGAACAAAGTTTATACTGGTCCCACAGCGCCCCACAGTATCTGCATGCTGGAGGGAGGAGGAAAAGAAAAAGTTAACACCCACACTGCTCCGGCTGTTCTCCTCGAAGAGAGCTTGCTATGGCACCAGGGGGCTGCCAGCTCTCATTTAAGTGGCTATCTATTGTCTTCCAGGTTTTTAAGTCCTGCTTAGCTTGATCTTCTAGAATCTAGTTAATTTTCAAACTTCTGTTTTTGATGTGAAAAACTTAGGACTGTTTTCTCTCGGGAAAAGAGGAAAGTACTCACTAGTCCTTCCTCTAGTTCTGAATAGACAGATTTAAAGATTCTTAATGTTCTTAATGCCAAGAGAAGAAGAAAGATATGCATGTGTTAACTAAGCCAGTACACAGAAATGTTGCCTCTGGGGAAGGGGTGCCATGGAACTTCCTTCCATCTACAAGCAATGGCTTGTTCGGGGTGTCATTTGCAGTCCTGGTGGAGTCCTTCCACAACATCAGAATTTTTAACTCTCTAACTGAAAGCTACAGCCCAATTTAGCTGCACCACCACACTTCCCTTTGAAACTTCTGGAGGGATGGCTGTGATGTGTCCAGAGTGTGTTCTGTTTCTACACCAAGTCAGGCTCCCTCAAGATGTATACACTAATTGCAGCAGAGGAATGAGAAGTTATGCTTGAAAAATTACTAACTCAGAGAAAAAAACAGCACTGCTTCCTAAAAAAAAAAAAAAAAAGACTAGAACCAAATTCCATCTATTTGTTATATGTGGCAACTGATAGCAAGATAGCAGATCATTTCATCTGCAGTAACTGAAGAGCAATCCCAGCCAGAAGACCAAGCTGTGTTCTTAACAACTTCTACTAGAGGTCACTGAAATTCTACCAGCTACAGAAAACTTTAAAGCGTGAAAATAACAAAGTGCTGTAGTGCACAGTGCCACTACTCTTGCAGTGCCTGGTAGCCTGAGTTGATATTCTGTGAAATTACTGGAGCAGAGAACTGCTGGCAGCACGAGAACTACTTAAAACTTGGGTCATTTGGCCAACCACAGTCTGATCAGCACTGTGGGCAACGAGCAGGTAACAACAGCAGTGGTGCTTGACATGTATCTCTCCATAGGTGCAGATGGCTCA